GTGCCCAGGTGGCCAAGAAGGCCAATGGCATCCTGGTCTGTATCAGGAATAGTGTGGCCGGGAGGAGTAGGGAAGTGGTCGTCCCCCTGTACTCGGTGCTGGTGAGGCTGCACCTTGAATCCTATGTTCAGTTTTGGGCCCCTCACTACAAGAAAGATGTTGCGTTGCTGGAGCATGTCCAGAGGAGAGCCACAAAGCTGATGAGGGGTCTGGAACGCAAGTCTGATGAGGAGCGGCTGAGGGAGCTGGGGTTGTTTAGTCTGAAGAAGAGAAGGATGAGGGGAGACCTTATCACCCTCTAGAACTACCTGAAAGGAGGCTGTAGCAAAGTGGTGGTCGGCCTCTTCTCCCTGGTAACGGGTGATAGGACGAGGGGAAATGGTCTGAAGGGCAAAGGGCAGGTTTTGGTTAGACATTAGGAAAAATATCTTCACAGAAAGGGTTGTCGGGCTCTGGAATGGGCTGCCCACAAAGGTGGTCGAGACCCCATCCCTGAAGGTATTTAAGACAGGTAGGTGAGGTGCTTAGGGATGTGGTTTAGTGGTGGGATGGCAGTGCTAGTTTAACTGTTGGACTTGATGATCTTAAAGCTCTTTTCCAACCTAGACAATTCTATGATTCTGTGATTGTATGAGTGGCTGAGAACTCTGGGCTTGTCTTGTTTGGACAAGAAGGAAGCTGAGTGTCAACCTCTTTACAGTTTCCTGAGGAGGGGAGATGGAAACAGAGGTACTGATGTCTTCTCCTTGGGATCCAGTGATAGGTCATGTAGGAATGGTTCAAAACTGTGTCAGAGAAGTTCAGATTTGACATTAAGAAGAATTTCTTTACTGACAAGGTAGTCAAACACTGGAACAGGCTTCCTAGGGAGCTTGTGGATGCTCCATGCCTGTCAGTGCCTTAAAAAGAGGCATTTGGACACCGTCCTTAATACTATGTTTTAACATTTGGTGACCTCTGAAGTGGTCAGGCAGTTGGACTGGATGATAATTACAGGTCCCTTCCAATTGTATTCTATTCTTGCTATGCTGTGCTATGCTATGCTGTGCT